ACACACACAGAAAGAATGACACACACACGCGCGCACACACACACAGACATACACACACACAGAAAGAATGACAAACACATACGCGCACACACACACAGAGACAGACAGACACACACACACAAACACGTGTGTATACTCAGACATTCGTATACTACTTAAAGGTCCATTCAAATACTCTTTCACACACACACACATACACACACACACACTACAGAAGATCCACAAGAGCTAATCATTCACTTACTGCCCCCTTCCTCCTCCTCCTCCTCCATCACCTTCAAACACACACGATCGCGAGAACTCCCCCCCTCCCCCCTTTTACAATACGTTCGGTTCCATCGCCACTCAGAATATCAGGGTATCTTGTCACCTGAATCGACGGGTTGGAGACTGTGGAGAGATCACTGTATCTGTATCTGTCTGTCTCGCTTTCTTTCTCTTTCTCTCTTTCTGAATGCGCGCGCGCGCGCGCGTGTGTGTGTGTGTCTGTGCGTGCGCACATGAGCCCATCCTCCCCCCTCTCTCACTTAAAACAAACAGACAGACAGAAAAACAGACATACACACACGCCCCTTGAGATTACACCCCCAACAGCCGCTGCCAGCTGCTTGTCTGCATGTCTGCTTATCGGCATGCCTTCTTGTCTGCCTCCTCCTCCTCCTCTTCCTCTTTCTTTTTCTCTTTCTCCTCCTCCTCTTCCTCTTTCTCCTCTGCACGTTCAGTCACAATTCCACGTGTTAAAGCAAAGATCCACAGGAGGGAGGGAGGGAGGGAGGGGGAGGGGGAGAGAGAGAGAGAGAGAGAGAGAGAGAGAGAGAGAGAGAGAGAGAGAGAGAGAGAGAGAGAGAGAGAGAGAGAGAGAACGAATCATAAGCGCATTATAAAAAGCTCTCTCCTACAATAACACTGAGAAAAAATAATAATACCAACACTCATATCAAAACTACTATACAATACTACGACGATTGATGATTGATGATGATGATGCCAATAACAAAAAAAAAAATACCAATAAAACAGTAACAATAACGATAACAATAACAACAACAACAATAATAACAATAATATAATGATGATAATGACAATAAAAAATACATCTATAAAAATTATCACTTTCACGGGAGACTGTTTAACCATTCACTATAATGTATTTTTTTCATTATGATTTCTG